TTGCTTTATAGCATTCAGGAATTGTTATGAATGAAACAACTCTAGCAGGCACATTTCAGTCACTAAATGAGCATATTTCTATGGACCAATAGTAGTTTATATTCAATAATGCTTTCAGGAAACACCCTGCTGTTCAAAGGAATATTGATTATTCTGGCTGCCTACATATTGCCTTAAGGCCAGATGTTAGTATGAAAGAACGGATGTAAAAATGAATGATGCATAGTGTTTACTTTTTGGTAATGTTATATGCACTCATGTACAACAGGGTATTTCACAGAAACAGCAAACCTGACATTTCATTTACTTTTGTGAAAAGTTCTAACTCCGTGATATGCTAGCACATGTCAACCTGTTAGATGCAGCCAGAAATATTATCAACTGCCATCCCTCTTCCACACTTTCATTAACTTTTCTCTTTTTCTTTTTACCAGCTCCATTGGTAGAACTCCACATTTCCAAAAGATTACAAAACTGGTTAGCATAGGACAGCATACACTCACTAATGGATTTCTACATCAAGGTGTACAGGTGACATATAAGTGTAATGAGCAAACAAATAAATAATGACTTAGCAGGGCTATCTCAGGGCGGGCATTTGAGCTGTCCTTTTTGGATAGCTGAAATAGCTTTGATATAAGATCCGTTTATATTTTTTTCTAATCTAATTATGCATTTAATAATTCATTTCTAATATTTGACTGACAGTCATGGACAAATAACAAAGTCTTCATCCCAAAGTTTTTAAAAATCTTGTGTCAGACCTATTTATCAATGTATGCATTCTTAAGGCAGATTAATGTAGTTAAAAGTATAGACTGTGCTGTTTTTAATAATTCCATTTTTATAAGTTTTGGTCACTTTTTGGAGGTCTGTTAACTAAGAAACATACAGTGGATAAATGATTTTTGTAACTGTTGTATTGCCAGTTCAGAGTTAATAATGGCAATTCTGCGCTGAGCAAGATCCAAGATTTCATGGATAGCAAAATTCAGTAGGCCCAACAGTCTTTTAAACATCTTAACCTCTGTTGTTAAAAGAGCGCTGCCCATCCTGATTGTTAAGCTTTACAGATCACAATGTAGGAGATACGTGCAGTTGCCTCTCCAAATTGTGGTCCATGGTTTCTGTGGAGAAGAAAATATTTATGACTCTAATCAGCATTTCTAATTGAGACTGTGCCATTCAGAACAAAACCTGTCTTTTCATTTAAAAAATTAATTTGCAAAGATGCATTACTAATGTCACATATAGTGGAATAAACAAGTGAACAAAATTTAGGAAACCAAGCAAGATTTGTTATTTTGAATAGTTCTCGGGACCTTCAGGAAAACCATCTTCTCCTTTTATGCCTCTATGAGCTCTCTGCTTTGGCCTGTTTTTTAAAGCCAAGGAAACTTGCTATTCACTGACAATCAGAGATTTTTTCCAAGCTAATAATATAGCTAACCTTTAACAGTATATATGTATTTTGTCTCAAGTGTCAAAATGTTCTATGTATACTCCATTATGAGATGGCAAGATGCAATAAAATTAAAACTTTTACTAAGAGTTCAGTCCATATCTACTCTTCTGTAGATAAGACCCTTATAAAGAAGAATCTTGTACTTCTAAAACATGTTCCCCAAAACAGGAATATCAGTTATCTCTGGATCCGGACTCATCTCCATGTTTATCGGGGGAACTCCCTTGGCTTCCCCAAGAAGGAAGTGTAGAAGAGGAGATCATTTTAGATGCAGGCTCACTGTTTCTTGCCCTGAGCTGTTGTTCCTTTGGAAGTGATCAGTTTTTTTGCCATCTTGTGAGTGAGAGTGACATCTGGGTTCAGATTCTATAGGTGGAGGATCCTGTGCCTGACTAGTATCAGTCTAAGATTCTACCTATAGTCAAATATTGTATCATACTTGAGGAAAAGATTTTTAAAAATCTGTTCTGTGAAGTGAGATGAATGGATGAGAGAGTAAGAAAGAGAGTACAAAAGAAGTGACTGTGCCATTTGCAGACTCAAATATCAATGACAGTCTTGACTGGTGATCATCTGCTCAGACGTTCTGTTTCTTCTGAGTACATGGTTCAAGCCTAAGCTGATTGATTTAATTGTTTATTGTTTATGATGAAAGATTGAGAAAATTAGTGAGGATGCAAGGCTGAAAAAAAGTTCTGAATCTGGGACAGAGCATTATATAGTAGTTCATGAACAGATCTAGGGGGAAAATGGACCTGAAAGAAAAGCAAAGAAGTGAAAGATACTAGAATGAAAGTAGAATGATTTCTCTTCCAGTAGTCATTCCACTTTCACTATAGTCTCTTCTCCCTTCCCTTCCCTTCCCTTCCCTTCCCTTCCCTTCCCTTCCCTTCCCTTCCCTTCCCTTCCCTTCCCTTCTTTCTTTTCAAGTGTGAGTCTTGTTTGAAGAAGTATGGGAAGAATGAATAGAAAGTGGATGTTAGGAAAGAGGAAGTGGAAGCTGCTTGCAACAGAATGAAGAGAATAATGACACAAAAGTATGTGGTGTTATGCTAATGGAAAGTAGGAAAAAGGAATGGTTAAGATTAAATGAGACAGAAAAAATGCAAAGGAACTTTGATGAAAATATTAAAAAATGAAATCTTTAGGAAATGGTTCAATATGGCTCAGGGAGTAACCCAATGAAATGTAATATCTCTTTTGCTTAATGTAATGCATGGACAAATGTATAATGAATGCTCAGAGATAAGTCGATTGTGGACATGGATGTTTGTACATTTTTCTATATAAAGGATGCTGTATTGTTGGGTGAGAACCCATGTGAGCAGCATCAAATATTGTATAGCTTGTATTATGCAATTAAGAGAATGGGTCTGAAAATCAATGTATGAAATACCAAGATAGTTGTGTTTAACAGGAAAAATTGAGTGAACAGTTGCATTTGCTATAATAGCAAATAAAGAAGTAAGTGGATGTGAACCTTGGTAATGTATTTGTTACAAATGGGAAAATGAATGGAGAAATGGTAAGAAAGATAGTGGACAGTGGTCTGTTACAAGGAACGAACGTTTGTTGAAAGAAGTGAAAATGGCTATATGTAATAGAGTCCTTCTGCCCATTTAATTTCTAGGAAAGTTAGAGTTGGGTAAGTCAAGGGAAAAAATCAGAAATATAAGTTGAAAGCAGTGGGAATGGCTACTTAAGAAGAGTGTGTGATAAAACAAGAAGTAGAGTCAAGAATGAATGGATGCTGAATGAATGTGGATTGAATATAAAAGTGAGTGACTAGTACAAGAGAAGTCCTCTGAGGTGACCTGCTCATTTAGCGAGTATGAATGAGGATCTAAACATAAAATAAATACTTGAGGAAAGACTAAATAGGTCAAAAGGGGAAGACCAAGAAATTCATAGTTAGGTGGAATTGACGAAATCCTCAAAAAGTTTAAATAACAAGAGGCAAAATATGAAGTGGTGAGTGGATGTGATAGAAACAAGGATAGTTGCTAGAACAGAAAGATATGGAGAGATATAGTGAATAATGGTGTAATTTTTTTCTCTTATTTCCTGTCTTCAATTTCTTTAGTGTATTGTTTATCACTCCTTTTTTGCACTTTGTCAAAAGTTGTTGATCCTAATATGGGTATGTGGATTTGTCTTCATTAAAGAGAGGTAGGGAATAGAATTAAATACAGACAAATTATATGAATCCTATATGTGCTGCAGTTCAAAGACACATACACACATGGAGACATTTGTTTCCACTGAGAGGATTGATCCCTTTTACTTTCTGCACTGGAATATGTGGAAAGTTATGGGAGAGGTGGGAGTCCAGGAATCTCTCCAGAAGGGACTGATTGAATCACCTGAATGTATTCATGATTAGGTGTTTGTGTATGTCTTCAATAGAAATCTTTTCCACTCTTGCTTAAGAGGAGATTCACCAGGAACAATTATGTAGATTGCACTGCTATGTTTGTGTGGTTTTCTAGGAAGGAAGGAAGGGAGGAAGGGAGGAAGGGTGGGTTCTGGAGCTAATGAAGCTATTAAATGTTTAAAAAAAATTCTGATTGTTATGCAGTAAATAATTCTTATGCATGATGAAATGAAATGTTATATACTTACAAAACTTAGGGAAACTAATTCAGATGCAAAGTGTGAATGTGAATATTTGAGAAGCTAAAAAGATTGCTATTATTGACAACAAGCTATGGACCTCACTGAGGGATACCAGTGTTCCTAGATCAGTTTTCTCTCAGACTGTTTTGTGAAAGTGCCTATTAACAAAAAAGTTCCTACTCGAAAAACAGTGGCTTGCGCACTGCACAAAGGATATGTGCAAGGTACATGTATGTTTGTTTCATATAAATTCCTCTCCACATGTTTGAAAGAATAATCTCTTATTGAGAGATAGTAAGAATTGTATAATTATCAAAAGCTGTTCTAACTCTTTGGAAATTGTGATCTCAACTGGAATGAAGTTCCAGTTAGCAAGAAGAGGCAGGAGTTATTTTGCAAAATGTGTTCTTTCTTATTATTCCTCAAAATACACACATCAGACCCTTAGAGTTTTCCATTCTTGACTTTATTCTTGTTAAATAACAAATGACAGCATAATACTAAATATTAAATCAATGTTGATGGTTCAGTGAAATCATATTTTTATCATGATGTATGCAAGGCACAGAACGATGGCATTGTATTATTGCATTTGAAATTGTTCAATTTTAATCAGATCAACACTGGCAATAAAAAAGGGAGATAGAGGATCTTGAAAATGTGCTTATTCAGTTTTGGTTTATTCACATATAATTGGTGATTTTGATCTATATATTTGTTTTACAGAGAATGCAAATTATTACCTTGGATGCATATCTGGGGGTATGAATGGAATACCTGTGAATTGCTTTTTTTTCAATATAATGCAAGAGATAAATGCACTTGAATGGATCACCACATACTCTTAGTCGAATGGGACCATTGTATCTTCTGATCATATTTCTGAAGCTAAGGATTTAGAAAAGCAACTTTTGAAGACATGACCCATTTGCATACTGGACTCAGTCCAGAGACTATAGAGAAAGCCCGTCTGGAACTTAATGAAAACCCAGATGTTTTGCACCAGGATATTCAGCAAGTCAGGGACATGATCATTACAAGGCCTGACATTGGATTCTTGCGTACAGATGATGCCTTCATCCTGAGATTTCTCCGAGCCAGAAAGTTTCATCAAACAGATGCCTTCAGATTATTGGCTCAGTATTTCCAGTACCGTCAGCTGAATCTGGATATGTTTAAAAATTTCAAGGCTGATGATCCAGGGATCAAACGAGCTCTGATTGATGGATTCCCAGGAGTGCTAGAAAACCGTGATCACTATGGCAGAAAGATACTTTTGCTGTTTGCAGCCAGCTGGGATCAGAGTAGGTAAATGTAGATAGTGTACTTATCTTTTTTTTAATAAAATGTTCATTAGCTAATAATTCATCACATTATTGGCAATCCAATTTTTTTTTAATATGAAACATATTCAAATGTTGCACTGATTTGCCAATTATTTGAATGATCTAATATTCAAAATGATAAATGAAGAATGTACTTAACTTTTGCTTCAGATGTGTATTTAATATTTCCCATGCATCCTTCAGATTTCAACAAAATGTTTGTAGGAAATATTTCATTGCCTAGTATATTATACAATTGGTCAAAATGTGATATGATTATTGTTACCAAAATTAAACTACTGTTTTATTAGAATTGGGAAGATATCTTTTTAAAAACAATCCTTTTTGTAATTATACTTACACTGTAACATTGTTTACAATATCATAGTACTGGTCAATTCTATATGATTACAAAAGGTTTGAATAACCCAGGTGTCAAGGGAGAAATGCTTCTTTGCTATAACCAATCTTTCCATAACAGCTGGTGCCCATAAATTCTGCTTTATTCACCCAAGAGTTATAAATGTCAAATACTTAACCATTTGAACTTGCATAGAGACTTGGATGGAAAGGGCAAAGCATTACTGTTATGGGAAACCAAGGAAGGAAGGAAGGGAGGGAGGGAGGGAGGGAGGGAATCAGAGTAATGATTTTAAACTTACTGAATGGAAATAGGTTTTTAGAAATGTATTTACCCACAAATTCTATTAAAATGAAAAGTTATTTTAAAATGTTAATCCTGCCCTCCCGTTATTGCAGTAAATGGATGGTCAAAGAATAACTTATAGGCATTGTTAAAACAAAACAAAACACCAGTATCTTTCTGCTTCTCACATGTTTATTCAAAAGTCTGTTGCAAGTTTCAGTTAATAGTAAAAACAAGCTTTGCAAAATCTCATGCTCTACTTTTTATACTTCTATATTTTATTATTAAATACATAACTGCCAAGACTTCTGCCTGTAGTATGCACAAAAGCATTTGTGACAGGTTGAAATCTTTAATTCAGAGCAATTATATTTTGATTAAAACAATGATATCTTTTAGTCTATAGGATTAATAAAAAAAATTGGTGGTACAGGAAAAAATCAGCTTTAAACAAATCAATATACTGATACAGTAACTTAGGAAAGTAAAAAGGAAGGGATGAAGGCACCTATTATGGGTGAAGTACATCTAGTTAATCCAGATCAATGCTCTTTTTTCTGTTTGATGAGTCACACGTTACACTTCAAAATAGGAAACAAGAATGTATGCAAAGTAGTGACTGACAAAATATAAGTTCCATTACTATCATTTTCTGCCAGGATTAAGACAATTGTGTAACTGGTCTCTAAAAGTAAAGATTTTCGTCCCACTTTTGCACAGCTTTCAGAGACTTCAGTGGCAAATGCAGACACACATCTTTTCGCTTGCCAAATAGCAAAGACAATATGAATGAGCAGATTACAAGAACATGGGGAAAAAGATTAGTAGACCTCAGAAATTAAACTCACATGAAAATAGCTCTGTAACCAGGTATTTAAAAGGTTTACCACACAATCCATTCAAATACAATATAGTAGTAAATCACCACATTCTTTAATGGGCACGTTGAATTAGATCAGTGTTTCTCAACCTTGACAACTTTAAGATGTGTGGACTTCAACTCCCAGAATCCCAGAATGCTGACTGGGGAATTCTGGGAGTTGAAGTCCACACATCTTAAAGTTGCCAAGGTTGAAAAACACTAAGTTAGATGATACAGACAAGTGAGCTACATGGATCACCACATTCTTTAATGGGCACGTTGAATTAGATCAGTGTTTCTCAACCTTGACACCTTTAAGATGTGGGGACTTCAACTCCCAGAATCCCAGAATGCTGACTGGGGAATTCTGGGAGTTGAAGTCCACACATCTTAAAGTTGCCAAGGTTGAAAAACACTAAGTTAGATGATACAGACAAGTGAGTCAAGCTACATGGATCCATATTCAGTGCATGTATTGGTTTTTCCAATTTTGTTTCCGGGTATGTATGTGTTTTTGAAGAAAATCTGAAAAAGCCGAGTGTTTATTTTCAAAACGAAAGGAAAGAAAATGAACGGAAAAAAGAAGAAAGAGGTGCATTTTTGTATTATATCTTCTAGGTATGAGAAATGTGTATCAGTTCCTAACAGATAAGCTCTGGGAAAAGGAAGTTGGTGAGAAATAAATTCATGAAAATGATTTCTGGAGAGATAAAGAATGGTTTCATGTTTGGTTTTATCAGGGTATAGGATGCATTAGTTCTTCATGATTTGTAGCTTTTCAACATCTGCAAGCACCAAGATCAGGATAGACTCACCATTACTTTATTTTTACTGCACGGTGATTAATATTCCAGTTCTAAAGAAACTGGAGGAGTTGAAAACATAATCACTGATGAAGCACTACCTCTGAGTTTGCAAATTTAGAGGTGGGCAAATTTGACAGTTGATGAGTGGCTGCACTGGGGGCAGCAAGGGCTGCTTGGGGGTGGTGACACAAAATAGGCAGGGTAATAACACACATATGGGTAGGGGTGGAATTTTCCCTTTTGGGGGAATTTGGAATATTCTTTAATCTTTTTTAAACTTCTGATCTGAACTTAGACTGTATTTTTATGCATTTCCTATCTCAAAAGGTGATCAACTGCCAGCATTTTCAGCAGTTAGGGATAAAGCAAATACATTCAGAAGTGATTGTGGGAGTCACAATGGGCACAGTCCTGTGTCCCATCTTTCCTTGTGGCTGAGTGCATTTCCCAGTGATCCAAAGTTGCTCACTTCCCCACCCCTTTTAAGATAATGGATATGCAATGGGTGGGGTCACCATAAGGTAATATCACTTATAAAATTTGCTTTTTCTCACTGAACTCTTCAAATTGAAAAACTTTGGAAAACAGGTGATGTGCCAGATGCAAAATGCAGAAGTTCGGATCCAAGTGATAATACAACTCATTCCTGAATGCCCAAAGAAAATGTGGGCTTGCATTACAGAAAATGAACCTTTTCCAGCTGCAATGCAAAGGACTTTTGTAATTGAAGTAACTTTTCAAAACTGATATGGGATAGGGATAAACTGTTCAAAGAAAAGCAGTAAAATAAGAAAAATATGACTTAGGTGTTCTTTGAATCCCAGAGACAAAGCAGAATAAATCAGGTCCAATAGTTGTACCAGGAATTATGTGATTGTGACAATGATACCAACCTCCAGCAGGTGCATTCACCTGGTAGAAACAATAATTTAATCAATTTGTTGAGAACACATTGTGCAGGTTTAGGGTGGGGGGAAGGTAGCAGGGAATGTTTATAGAGATAATCTGATGACACTAAAGAGGAGATGGGATTAGGAAGAAGGAAGAAAAAGATGCTGGCCAATATTTCTAAGCCTGACTTTGATTAATGGCATGCAACAATCTATTTGCAAAAATAGATGTTAGGTTTAACTTCTGATTTTATTTATTATTAGTATTAGTATTTTGCTTTAAACAGAAGCTATGGGGATTGGAAGGAATTTTCATTGGGACCGTAGCATCAAGGTAAAAACCATTAAAAAAACAAAACAGAACAAAACCTTTTACACTTCTTTTGAAAAAAACACAGCTGATATTTTAGGTAATCAGATGTAAATAAACTATGGAGCCAACAAAGGTAAAAGTAATCTGAATTAAATTTAAAATAATTGTTCATAACACTTAGACTAGCTATCTCCTATCTAGTGCCCTTCAGATGTATTAGATCACAGTTTCCCTCTCATAATTCCCTACCAAAAGCTTTCTGAATCATGGACATTGCAGTCTAATACGTATGCAGACATCATGTTGGGAAAGCTGCATTGAATGCTATTCTTGTGTCCATCAGCAGAATTCTGATAAATCATTTGCAGCACTTTTCCCAGTTTGTTAATTTTTTTTAGAAAATTGCAGGTGTTAGGTGATACTTCCACGGATTGGAAAGATGCATTAAGTCTTAGGATACTATTCAGGACAAACAGGAACCAAAACAGAAGAAAGATATTAATTAAATCATCCAAAATTTAGGCTCCATTTCTCCAGATTGTCACTTGGTAAAAGTGATGACTGTATTCATAATTTGTAAATCAGGCATGATATACCACTTTTAGAGAAGTTGTGGTCTGAGTAGACTGATATTAAGGTACCTTCAGAGAACGTTAGATTGAATAGTCATTTACAAATATGTCTTTTATGGGAAACATGTGGATAAAGAGCCAGTTTGCTTTAGTGGTTAAGGTGCTAAACTAGGAGCAGGAAGAACAGTCACCCAGTAGGGCCATTGTCTCTCTTAGCCCTAGGAAGAAGGCAATGGCAAGCCACTTCTGAAAACGTTGCCAAGAAAACTGCTTAGGGCTTGTCTATGTAATCACTAGGGGTCAACTGATGTAAAGGCACAAAGTAATATATGTGGATAATTAGAGGGCATCTGAGCAGGATTGCAGAACCTATGGCCCTTAACAGGTTGCTCAACTATCATTCCCATCATCTGTAGTCAGGGATGCTGACAATCTTTGTTCGGTTACACCTGGATGTCTAAGGTTCCTCAACTCTGAGGTTGAGAGTGTTTACAGATTATTGGCAGCTTGTCACTTGCATTTGGACAGCTTACATACAAGCTACTACCAAGAATGTGAAAAGTCAAACAACAGCATGGTTCAGGCTATTTTGAAGAAAAAAGGGCCCTCTGACATCAAATATTTCAGTCTTGCTTCAAATATTCATATAAATTATTACATTTTATACTCATATTTGCAGTGCCTTTCCTCCTGAAATTCTGTTAATATTTCAAAGAAGTTGAAACTCTAGATGAGGTGAAGACAATTCCATTATAGCCTTGTTGCTGATAATGTTATTGACAGCTAAAGAAAAAGTGACATACCACAATTAGACTCCCTTATTTTGTCAAGGTCTCCCATGAAGCTAAGTTTCTCCATGAAGGAAGCTTTGCATGAATTGTAAATCAAGCATTC